ATTTGGTTGATTCAAGGGGATTCTTCTCTCAGCTGTTACTCTCTCAGGGTTTGCCATGTTTCCTGTGCATTCACAGTTCCTGAATACAAATACACAATCTCATAATTTACTGCAAACTTTCACCTGCCTCATCCTTGGTGGGAAAAAAAAACCCTTGAGTACTTTACCTTTTGAATACCCAAATTGCTGATTATACAAACACTATAGTTCTCAAATCCATCCATCCACTTTTTAAAAGTCTTTTTCGTTATTAGTGTTTACCGTATATCTTAGATCCTTTAGCATATTAGCGTTAGTTTAGCGTGTATCTTAGTGTATATATCTTATATCCTTACATACTGTTTCTTTTTATACTTCATATTTTTGGGTGTAACTGGGACCTTGAGTACACAATTTCATTCCACCTCATGTACCACATGTGATGAGAATGACAATAAAGAACCTCGAACTTGAGTTTTTATAATAGTGACAATATTAATCAGAACACACAAGTGGCATGGACTAACATAACAGCGTGGTTAACACTATTGCCTCATAACAAGAAGGTCCTGAGGTCAATCCCCGGTTTGGACTTGGTGCCTTTCTGCGTGGAGTTTGCGTGTTCTCTGCATGTTAGCGTTTGTTTTTTCCAGGTACTCCCGTTTCCTCGCATGGTCCAAAAATGTGCACGTTAAGCTGATTTTAGGCCTTAATGGGATTTGCCTGGTGAAATAAATGGTACTAAAATGCCCGTTTCAAGGTTTAACATAGTTTTAAAAATCATGATGCCAAAACCAGCTAAGTTTTCTGAAGTTTTGTCTTTAAATGCAGCAGTGTGTTGTTTCATTCCCCACCTGTTTCTGCAAGCTGCCAGCCAGTTTTCGTCCCATTTGCCTTTTCACTTAACTAAAGATAGTCAGTTTGATAAAGTAGATTCATAGCTACTTTATAAACAGTAGAACAACAGAGAAGAAACATATTCTCCACAATGTGTTACTTTAGAACAACAACTAAGTATATCTGGTTTTATGTTTTTGTGTTAAATTATTTCTCAGAATCAGATCAATGATGAAGTCAGGCAGCTGATGACGAGGGAGCAGCGGAGTGCACACATTGAACTTTTTTCATGCTCTGAAAGGGATTACACATTTTTATGTATTATCTATATTTATGAATAATCACCACAGAAGCAGCAGCGGCAGCTAGCTGTAGCACTTTTAGCAAAGATTGAGGCACTTCCTGAAACATTTTCTTTACATTCTTGCTTGAATACATTTATATTGAAATATTTAATATTTCAAATGAATGTAGTGGTTAAATAAAATGCAGTATACTTAAAAACAGAGGTTATGTTACAAGCATTCCTTATTACAAACTAGTGGTGTGTGTGTGTGTGTGTGTGTGTGTGTGTGTGTGTGTGTGTGTGTG